TCTCCTCTCTCCCCCTCTCTCGCTCGCTCGCTCGCCCGCCCGACCATCCGTCCGTCCGTCCGTCTGCCTGCCTGCCTGATTGCCTACCTGATTGCCTACCTGATTGCCTACCTGCAGCAGGTGGGTGCCTGGCTGTCCGACTGCTTGCTCGCGTACTCTCCCTAGCTCCTCCTGTTTGCCGATTATTCTTTTGCAACGAACGTGTCGGGTTACAATTGTAAAGTAAGAAGTAATTCCGTGTACAATGATCCGGATTCGAGTATCTGGGTTAGCGATTGAAAATTAGGAGCGGAGGACGATCGCGAAGCGAGTGTGTAACGCGTGTCGATCCAAGTACGAAGTCTCGTAATTCGCGGGAATGCAAATCTCGCTGCTCGTACGATCGCGAAACGTTTCGCGAAAGGCGTACTCTTTGCACAGTCGAGATCTTTGCTTCTATTTGTACATAAGCCTCGAAACGTTCGCGATCGGCTTCCTTTGTAATTAATACTGTATTAAACCTAAGTAAACGTATAGCTGTAACTATTCCTACGGTGAACGTGAATGCTTTAGCCAACGTTTGAAGCGTGTGTTAATCCATTTACGCGCATTATTATTGTTAATGATATACAATTGTATTTACTTTTATAAAATAATGTCGGATAATGTAATTAAAATTCTATACCGAAACCATTCTGTATCCACGAGAGACGAATAAATAAACGATGAAAACGATCCATCCGATCGAATGTTTTGTCGATAAATCCCACATGTTATAATAATTCGCATAATATAGTACCGAATATCCACGTAATTTCACCACAACCCCAAGGAATCTCTCTTCTTTTTCTTCTTCTTCTTCTTCTTCATTCCTAACACTTTTCCGCATTCGAGAAACTGTACAAATAAATATGTATTACGCGTTTATTACGCGTACAACTGTATATCGAGGTTAAACTAAATACAGAAAGCAAACGGATTAAATGAAATAGCAATAGCTGAAATAGCTGAAATAGCTTTTCAACGCTATATCATAATTATAATTATTTGTCTTTCGGAATAATTATAATCGCCGAGGAAAGTTTCAAATTAGCCACCGATTATACTTTATAACGCAATATTCGTGCATTTTTGCAAAAGATTCTTCATTTCACACCAACTAGCTACACAATAGTGTATTCTGTAGGCTTTTCTCAACGAGAAACTATGGAACGAAATTGTCGAAACAGTTTTCAATTCGATTAAATCGAGAGAATACTCGTATTTATGTATGGAATAACGAACCTCTTCCAAATGTCAAGTAATTTTTACCATTAGTATGAAATAGTACACGAACACATATACATGTGGCATATATAAGAAATGAAATGTACTGAACGAAGATTTTCGTATTCTTACTTTCCCTTAATAATTTCTTTCTAATTACCACCTTTTACCATGTTGTAAATAATCACTTGAGGTAGAGCATGAATTGGTAACAACGACCAACATGATTTATCGTAATAACGAACAAAATTAGAAGTAAGCTGAGATGAAAAATATTATGTTAATACGTCTAGGATTTCGTCTTTATAATGTGCGTATGTAATTTACAAATTAATTGCATAAAAGATAGTAATCAATTGTAAAAGTTCATTAATGAATCGCAGTTATTCGGTAATTTGTTAATTATTCAATGCCGAATGAAAAATCAAGCGACAACGATCAGCGCCATCTATGATTTTGAGCTGGAAGCTGAGGAAAGTAACAGGAACGCAGAATGTGCAAGTAGATCGTTTCAACCTCGTGACAAAAGCAGCAAGCAATTAGAAAAGGACAGATGCTATACCTCCTTCCTGCATTAGATGATTCGTTCTCATCAGTTAGCTGGGAATTTATTTTTTAACAACTTTATATTAAAAAGTCGTTGGTATTTACGTCTCGAATAACGAAATTGTTTCATATTACAAGTGATTTAGAGAAATTTCTTATTATTTCGAGATTATGAAAATGATTATGAAAATGTACAATGAAAGGTATACGTGTTGTGTATAGAAGAAACAAAGTCTACCGAAAGATGATTTTTATGTACATCTATGTAGATTTAGATTTATGTAGACTACGGTCCTGGCGTTCAAACAATGGCTGCGTGGTGGCAAAATCCCGCTTACGCGTTGCTGATATATATTTTTTCCTCCTCTCAACATTCGAGATCATCTTAATACTGTTTCTCGATGGTATCTTCCTTGGAAAAGCCTAAAGAATACGGTAGTGTGCAGCAAATTCGTGACAGATGTAGAGTTTTTCGTAAAAATCCAAGTATATGATTGATGAACAATTATAGTTTATTCAGAAGCACGAATAATTATATAATTATGCAGGCTGATAAACTCGGCATATTTTTGTATAACTTGCAAGACCCCGACAAACCTCCTAACCTTCGTACTTTTTTAAAAAACACCTCACACCTTTCGGAAACTGTGAGTGATACGTCTCGTGTTCGGGAAAGTAAATTCTACAACAATTACCCAATAGATATTATAAATAAAAATTTGTCGAACGGGGTTGTTAAAGGAAAAAAGGGAATTTGCCAAGATCATGGATGCGTTATTAACGCAAACAATAGAAAAACACGCTTTCTTTTTTAACTTGCATTTAACCTCTTGATTTTCCTCTTGCAGTTGTTGACATTCGAAACGATCTGCATATGCCATCTGGGAAGGAAAAAAGAGTGCGAGTGAGAGAGACGAAGGTAAAAGTTTCGATGCAAGTCCAAATTGTATAATACCTGATAATAAACCTGAAAATGAGTATAATACCTGAGATCGTTTTCGCAGCACGTTCTTCTCGATGGCAGTACGAATGAATTTACGCCGATCCTGGATCTTGGTTCCCCGGATCTCTTGCCGGTCAAAGGATTCATATCGGATTCCTTTGCGATAGAATTTTGCAATTGGGCGAGAAATTTATCGGCAAAATGATTTTGCGTAAAGAACAAATGTTGCAAAAGCACGAAAGATTGTGGTCTTAGGTCGGGATTCATGCGAAGACATTGAGCCAAAAAGTCGATAGTTACGGTGTCCCAAGTTGGAAATAACTTACGAATCGACGCGATACCGGACTGTGGTGGTCCTACTAGCTCATCCGCACTCGCATGCCGTAACATTCGACCGGGTCTGCTACGAACCATTATCGTTTGATGTTTCGTGCACAGCCCTCCTGATGTAACGTAGACATGCTATTACATTCGTACATTACAATCTTCTCTGTTAGAAGGAATAACGAAATAACCGGATAACCGAACAACAATTTACCAAGGACCTTGGTTATTCGATAAAGCTGATCAACGTCGCTATCACCAGGAAACAGAGGATCACCGACCACCATTTCCGCATAGAGACATCCTACAGCCCAAATATCTATCGCTTTGCCATACCGTGGATCGCCGACCAATAATTCCGGTGCTCGATACCATCTTGTTGCCACGTAATCCGTGCAAGACTCGTCCGGTACGTTTATGAAACGTGCAAATCCGAAATCGCAAAGCTTGATCACTCCGTTTGGAGATACGAGAACATTTTCAGGTTTGACATCGCGATGCATTATCTACGGAGGAACGAGAGTAGAATTATTAAGAAAATAATACGTTTTATATGTTCTCGTTTACATTGTTGCTGTGACAGAAGCTCAACCCTCTAAGGACCTGATAGATATGTCGTTTGGACAGTTCCCAACCTAGGCCGTGTCCGATACCTTGCAGTTCGTCCAGCAAAGTATGATCCAAATATTCCAACACGAGATAAAATCGTTTCCTTCGACGGAACACTTCGATCATGCTTACCACATTTTCGTGGCGCAATTTCTGCAACAATACTTGGATAACTGGTCGATTTTTCATCGAAGCAACGGGAGAATACGGAATAGAATACGGGCACAAGATGCATGTACTTTTAACACTCTGATTTCACGGAAAGCCATTTTACGCACTTGATGATCCTCTTCGGTCTCGAGAAATCTCTTAATAGCAACCAGTTGCCCACTGCCGCGATGTTTGCATTTCATTACCACGCCGTAACTCCCTTCTCCCACAATCCCTATCATCTCGTATTTATCCATCTCGTTTCAAGTCCTCTTCCCTTTCTTCCTCTATATCTCCCCTCTTTTCTCTTTTAATTTTACTTACTCGTTGATCTGATCCGCATCTGAACCGGAATATCAAACGGATATTCGATAACGCTCGATTCCAGGTACAATATCTCTATCTTCAATGTTTTCGTCTGTAGATCTGGAAGAACCGATAGGTTAATCGATTTCGCGAAATGTCAGTGAAAAACAAAATAAAATTAAAAATAAAATCATTTCTTCCGCTTTCCCTTCCTTCCTTCCTTCCTTCCTTCCTTTCTTTTCCTCTCCCCTCTAATTTACCCAACGATGAAAAATATAAAGAAGAACGCAATAAAAGACGCTTTATTTACTTTAAAACTTTCTTTAAACACTTTATCACAATTTCCAATGTATAAAAGGATAATGAAAAGATGTTTTAAAAATAAAAGATGTAAATAATTCTCCACTAATTACGCTGGTCAGAGAAATAAAGTTGCAAATACGAAGATTCGAGATTCGAGATTCAGGGTTTAGAGCGCGGTATAGAAATTGTGAAGCTGTGTTAAAACTGTGCCAAATTGAGACTAACGCTGGTTAAAATTCTATTCTACAGGGACAAATAGCAAATGGGGAATAACAAATAATAAATAACAAATAACAACTAACGAATAGGAAATAGGAAATAGGAAATAGCAAACAGCTCGAATCTTACTATAATAGAATGCTTTAACCTACGCGCGCTCGCGTGCAATTATTGGTCGGAATCTAAATAAATAAATATGTAAAGAAATATTGAAATTAACTAGTTTATCGATACCTTTAGAAAGTGGTGGAAATTTGGCCAGAAACGTACACGCCAAGTTGTCATGGTCGAGGTAAAGAAATAAATTTCTCGGTGAGAAGAGAGAAAATGGACGCGCTGGAAGCGAAACTCTCAGCAAACGAGCTAACGAGTAAACTTGGCGGCAAAGTCCGAGCAGTACGTACGCTACTCGGGGCGGCTAGCTGCTCGATAGATAGCAAGCACTGAAATAGCTGTACCATATGGCGGGGATCTCTTTAAGGCTGGTTAGATTCGTGTGTGTGAGTTTCTACGTATACGCGAGTCGCCGAAATTGTGCATGTCAGACTACGAGTAGACCCTCCAAACGGACGGAGTTGTCGATTTCGTCTCCATTCCGTCCATCCTGTCTCTCGAACTGTTTTCTGCAACAATCGTTTATCGTCTAGAAAATTCATCTCTTCTCCGGAACAATTGGTTGGAAATGGTAAAGACTAGACCGCTACCGTTACCGTCACTCTCGCTACCAGCCAACATCGCCACCGTCATCGCCACCGTCACCGCCACCGTCACTGCCACCGTGATCGCCATCGGCAACACCAACGGCGACATCGCGCCGAAGAAAAGTTGAAAGACGAGGAGCAAGAGAAATACTTGTTGATCGTCCGAGAGGATGAGCAAGAACTGGTAAAAAGGAAACGGCGGTTTACCTCGCAGCTCGGAGACTCGTGAATCGATTCTATGCTTCGTATATACATACGTCAAATTATAAGTTATAAATGTTGGCTCGTTTCAACATCATACGGAACGAATGGCAATTCGAATAGCGTAGACGAGTATAAAGTGGCAATGGAAACAAGCCGTTAAAGTGGGTGAAATTGTTTACGTCCGATTGTTCGGACCGTACGACAACGGTTTCGATGAAATAGCCATTTTGATCGACGTCAGCTAGACAGAAATTCTCTTTGGGAAATTCTCTTCTGTGACGTAACGCATACGCGTGTATTTGGCAAAACTGTAAAAGTGATCGAAAGGGAGATCTGGGACGCGAGTATAGTGCTCGTTATAGTGCTCGATATTCGATGGAAATGCGCGTCGGTGCGAGTAAACGATTTGAAAATAAAACGCAAGTTGACATGTTAGCGGACAGTGGGGAAAAAAAGGCACGATAGAAGAAAAAAGGTAGCCGCCGCGAGGTTGTAGCAATGGTAATTAAATGATCCTAGCTCTACGATGCATACGGTGTAAAATTAAACTCGCGGAAAAGCTAACCACCGGGAATGTAGCAATACTTTAAACTCGTATTTCGAAACGAAATAGTTGGTATAACGTTGCCAAGAACGCATCGAAAGTTTCTCACTTGCGTGATTCATAAATGGATCGGTGGTGAAAATGCATGGACGAGAATGAGCGATTCCATTTCGCTTCGTACAAATGTCCAGACCATCATTTACCAAATATGTTGAGCAAGGTGAAAATTCGCAACAAGAATCACGCAGGAGAACGGTAAATGTCCGAGTATGGCAGCTTGCTACCCACCACCGGCGCTTCAACATTTACATTCGCAGGAATCGTCTCAGCTTGGCCTTGGATCTATGAACGTTATCGGTAATCAAGGTCAGAAGCCTCTCCACCAACCACATTATTCGTCCCATTTACTCAATTGGGTCTACCTGGCAATCGCCGATCAAGATACCCCTCAGCAACGAGATCAGGTTCTAAAAATCTCTTCTAAAAAATCTCATCAAAGATTCGATGAGATAATTGATCTCTAATGTGATAATTGATCAAACGATTATCGATTATAACTTCAGAGTAAGATTCTTTCACCGATCTGGAGCGGCTTTTCAACGGCGACCTCGCAAACTCATCTGCATTGTGGCACGCTCGATTCTGCTCGGATTATCGGATACAACTTTTCAGACAGCATCACCGATCTTGCAGATCGTTTCAGAGAATTGGGCCTACTGGATAGAAAACCGATAAAAAAGCCACCACCTAGCTACCTTTGTCATCTATGCTTCACGAAAGGTCATTACATCAAAGATTGTCCGCAGGTGCGTATCTACTTACAAGTAGATGCTAATCGTTTTCTGTCCCTCGCTGTATCGTCCTAACCATTGGATCGTATACTCGCAACCTTATCCTCGTTGCATACACTCGTATTATTTTTGGACCGATCCGAATAACAACACCGTCGCGTCGTGAATATGTCACGAAATGTGTCATCCAGTATTTCTAGTCCTCCGAGACCGGATTCAATTTCTCCTTCACGCACGTTTATGCACTATTACGTCTTACTATTATCTCGCTACTTCTCCTTTCGGTAGCTAAATCGTGAAAATCATACAATCGATTACAGGCACGTCCAAAGGGTGAGGGTCTGACTCCGTATCAAGGAAAGAAACGATGCTTCGGGGAATACAAATGTCCCAAATGCAAGCGCAAATGGATGTCGGGAAACAGCTGGGCTAATATGGGTCAGGAATGCATTAAATGTCATATAAACGTCTATCCTCATAAACAGGTGAGTTATTCGCGTTATTACGAGTTATTCGCCAGCGTACGCGGCACACCGAGTCGCCGTTTGCCAATCTTCTTGCAACTATACCATACTATACGATACTATACGATACTATACGATACTATACGATTCTATACGATTAATAGCCGTATAAACCATTTATATAAAATACCCAGTTGCGTGTCATCATTGCAAATCATTGTAAATCATTGCAAATCATTGCCAAGCAAAATCTCGCTCTCGGGCCAACTTACCTACCTACTTACGGGACACGAACACTTGCAAACTCTCTAACAAACCCTAACACACTCTAACAAACTTCGTATATGTTAACTCGGCCATTATAATCGAAATATACTTCATCAGCTTAACCGCTCATGTTCATTAGACGTTAGCTTAACTGTTCTATATTGTTCGATGTTGCCAGCCTGGTAACCATCGACCAAGTACAAGGAACATCGCCTTTTCCATTGCTATGTTGACCTACCGTTACGCGATTACGTGATATCCTCGCATTTCGCCTGTTTTCAGAGGCCGTTGGAAAAACCGGACGGATTAGACGTCTCCGATCAAAGCAAGGTACATCCGCAGCATCTCTGCCAGAAATGTAAGACCCTTGGTTACTACTGCCGAAGGGATCAGTAGTAGTCAATGGTACACCAGAAGCAATCTCTATACCGATAGTTCTCTCCGTGACTGATTCATTTTAACGGGAGAAAGACAAACGAGACAACCTTGTCCTTCCTCTAAACTCGTGCGATCCGTACGATTTAAACCAAGGATCAATACCTTCCCCGCTGGCCGATATTATATAAACCGCCGATCTGTGATAATATAAACAACTTTGTCGAAACGAAACTATAGCAACCGTATACGCCCGACTAAATTATCCCTCGTAATTATCCGTATTAAACGTCAGGGTCAGTTACAATATCTTTCGCCTTGTATTTTTCTATACAATCATATAATACAATACACACGCCCCACACCCCACTACGTGCACGCCCATACGTATTTCGCTTCAATGCCTGATGCCCAAGTTTCTTGTGCACACTCGAATGAAAGTAAGATACAACGTATGCGCTAAATCGCAAACAACCATCTCTTATGATACCATCCGGAATAAAGCAGTATCTCTTGTCTCTGACAAAAGAAATCGTGTCTCTGATAATTATAACTACGCTATGGCCAAATAAATCTGTACGAGCCAGATGAAATAAGAGTAAAATGTCTATATATATATTTATATGTGCGCGAGTACTTACTCGTGGCCAGGAATGGTATACCGTGAAATCGTACATGAAAGAAATTCCAAAAAATTCAAAAGTAAGCATCGATTCCATATTTACATATGTATAATATGTATCTCATTCGTTCTTTCCCATTCGTCCATATCGAAATGTTTCGTTTCGGGCTAATCCCTTTCTAAATTTCTCCTCATTCTCTCCACTCGAAATATTATATATATTTCGTATACGTCTCTATATGTAGACGTATACGAATCTCCAAGAATTCAAACAACACAGCTGTTACAACATTGTCTATCAAACTATTGATTTACCGATTTCTTAAAATGTTTCCGTCACACTTGATTACCAGACTTACAAGAATTTATATCATAAATGAGATACCGTATATGTAGGATCGGGGTGGGTGGATGGGCTAAAGTAATGTTGCTTTACTGCTTCTTAAAATACAATAAGCTTATACTTATATTAGACCCGCTACGGGTACGCTCGACTTTTACTTCTTAGACGCTATCTTGAAGACCGTGAAGGACTGGAGCTGCCCGCGTCCTTGCACCCTTATTTAAGCATTCACTCTGTCCTTTCCCATACCCAGGTTTTCCTTTGCAATCATACTTCCTTCCCGCGCAACCTCGGTGGGCCAGGTACTTCAACCACTCTGCACGCATCCCTAAACTTTCACTCTAACATAAACATTCAATGCAGTCGATCCTCGCGCACATGGTCACTTTTATTCTAAGCCCAGACACACTTGACATTCTTTCAAGGCCGTACTTATTCCAATCCCACATATATGTACAAGATGATTATTTATAATCAGACTACAGAATTAGACGATGTGATACGCCAAACTGATTTCTTTCTTACTTAAGCCTAAGCGTTTTTCAGGCATTACATATTTCTATGTACACAAAAAAGGCAAAGGAACGGAAAAGGAAAAGAGGGTGAAGATTACAAGGCTAAATTCCCCTTCCTGCAAACTGCATTCGACGCATCTCCATTACTTTGTAATAATATCGTACAGTTGCAAGAATCATCGATTCATCGCCATTTCATTCGATTTATCGTCATTTCTTCCTTTACGAATAGTGTCTAGTAATTTTATTAGCGATATCGTAAATCGCCTTGTATTCCGATACATCAGACGCAATGAAACGTTCGTAAAGGAGAAGAGAAAAAGAAAAAGTAGGAGAAGTAGGAGAAAAGGACAGGTAACCTATTTGCTTGATTTGCAATAACCGCAACGATCATTATAAATGTACACGAAATACGACACCGCACCATAGATATTACGATTTTTTATGCCTATATACTTATAAAGTTTGTTCTCTGTCTGTCTGACTGTCCGTCCATCCGTCCTTCTGTTCGCGCGCGCGCGCGCGCGCG